CTGAAAATTAGCAGCACAGGGCATGTGTGGCTCATGTGGTGTCCTGTGCCACAGATAGGTCTGCAGCACCACATACTACACATTCCTGCTCATCAGGATGTGCCCAGTGAATCCATGCTGACTGTTCCTGATCACCTTGTTTTACAAAATAGATTACCTGTTCCATGATCCTTCCCTGCACTTGGGATGGAATAATTGTATGCACAGATACAGAATGATTAGCTAGGCCAGTGACAGCGTGGGACTGGGGCCCAGGACAGAGCCTCAATCCACTCCCCACTCATTACTGTGACAGGAGCCAGTTTCCTGCCCTGCGGTTCCCTGTGGAACTGGTGCCCATTTGTGCAGGGAGTGGATTGCAACTCTGCCCTCGGCTCCGGCCCCATGCTGTCACCACCCTGTGAACCACCACCAACACCCCACCCATCCATTCCATTCCTGAATGCTGCTCCCTGCCCATCCGTGGCCCCATACCATCTGCCTGGCTGAGTGCGCCGTGCCCGTAGGGGTCCCAAACCAATCTCCATGAAGACCCTGCCCTCCTGCCCCATTCAACAGCCTGGTAGTGGGTGCAGGGCAGATGGGCCTGGAAAGGATAAACTGAAATCTCTCCACTGCTGCTGCTACTGCCATCACCCTGGGCAGTGTAAACAGCTGTGAGAGGGCTGAGGCTGGGTTAGCATCATAGATTCATAAACTCATAGATGTTACAGGCTGAAAGGGACCTTACAAGATCATAGGGTCCAGCCCCCCTGAATTTGGGCAGGAAAGGCTGCTGGGGTCAGATGACCCCAGCAAAATGGACACCAAGATGCTTTTTGAAGATGGCCAAGGTAGGTGACTGTACCACCTCTGGGGGAGTCTGTTCCAGACCCTTGGCACCCAAATTGTAAAGAAGTTTTTCCTTATGTCCAATTTGAAGCAATCTTCAGTCAGTCTGTGCCCATTGTTTCTTGTCTTCCCCTGGGGTGCCTTGGTAAACAGATGCTCCCACAGACCCTGATGTATGCCCCTTATATACTTATAGGCTGCCGCCAAGTCCCCTCTAAGTCTTTTTTTTCTCCAGGCTGAACAGTCCCATGTTTTTCAACCTCTCCTCATATGACCTACTCTCTACACCTCTAATCATGTGCATGGCCTTCCTTTGGACTCTCTCAAGCTTCTCCACATCCTTCCTGAACTGCAGCGCCCAGAACTGGATGCAATACACCAGCTGTGGTCTCACCAAGGCCAAGTAGAGTGGGAGGATGACATCCTTAGTCTTGCTTGAGATGCATCAGTAAATGCATGCCAGCGTTTGATTCACTCTGCCAGCTATGGCATCGTATTGGTGGCTCATGTTCATTCTGTATTCTATCATGAGCCCCAGGTCTCTTTCAGTTGTGGTGTTGGCAAGCATAGCACTGCCAAGCCTGTAAGTGTGTTGCGGATTATTTCTCCCCAGATGGAGCACTTTACATTTTTCCATGTTCAACATCATCAGGTTATGATCCGCCCACCTTGCAAGCCTGTCCAGGTCAGCCTGTATCACTAGCCTGTCCTTGAGCGTGACCATACTCCCACATAATTTGGTGTCATTCATGAACTTTGCCAGTATGCTTTTAATACCTGAATCCAAATCATAGATGAACATGTTGAAAGGTAGTGGTCTGAGTACTGAACCCTGAGGGACACTACTCGTCATCTCCCACAATGTTGACTCAGTTATGTCTATTAATACTCTCTGGGTCCTATCTCAGAGCCAGTTACCTAGCCACCAGACCATAAAGTAGTCAAGGCTGTATTTTCCCAATTTTACTATAAGGACATTGTGGGAAACTAAATCAAAGGCCTTTTGAAGTCCAAGTATATGACATGAACCTCATTTCCCTTATCCAGGTGGTGAGTTACCTGATCTTAGAAGGAAATGAGGTTGGTCAGGCATGACCTACCTGCAGTGAAGCCACGTTGGCTGTCCTTTAGAATACTGCCTTCTGTTAGCCTATCAATAATGAATTCTTTGATATTTTTTTCCATTATTTTACTAGGGATTGAGGTCATACTGATTGGCTTATAATTCCCTGGGTCGTCCTTTCTCCCTTTCTTGAAGATAGGCAACACATTGGCCCTCTTCCAGTCTTCTGGGACCTCTCCCAAGTGCCATGAGTCCTTAAATAGCTTTGCCATGGGTCATGTGATGATGTCGGTTGGTTCTTTTAGCACTCTTGGGTGTAGTTCATTTGGTCCTGCTGACTTGTAGATATTCAGCCTCTCTAGGTGTTCCTCCACAAGATCTTGACTAACTATGGGAGGGTGATCACCCCCATCTTGATCATCTTGTATCCTGTCAAGCAGGCTAATACCTGTGGACTGGTGGAATACCAACACAAAGTATTTGTTTAGGAGTTTGGTTTTCTTCTGAGTGTTGGTTATTAGCTGTCCCATTTTGTTCATCAGGGTCTCTATGCTTCTTTTATTTTTTCTGACTTCCTACATACCTAAAGAAGGACTTTTTGTTGTCCTTGATTCCAGTTGCCAATTTGAAATTGGTTTCTGCTTTTGCTTTTCTAATCCACTCCCTACAGGTATAGCCTATTGCTGTGTACTCCTCTTTGGTGGTAATTTCTGATTTTCATGCCTTATAAGCTTCTCTTTTCAATATCAAGAGGTCCATGACTTCCCTATTGAGCCAAGAGGTCTCCCAACCCTTTTGCTGCCTTTCTTATGAAAAGGAATGGACTTCCTTTGTGCTCCTAGGACTGCTTCCTTGAGGAATGACCACCCTTCTTGTGCTCCCTTCCCAAGTGGACCATGGTCCTGCAGAGCCTCACCAACCAATCTCCTAAGCTTGTGGAATTCAGCTTTCCTAAAATCAAGGGTTTCTACCCTACTGACTAGTTTCCCTGTCTTACGGTGGATGGAGTAAATGATCATCTCATGGTCACTGTCGCCTAGTTTTCCTTCAATCCTCAGGATGCTCGCCAGATCATCCCCTTTAGCCAGAACCAAGTCAAGGATGGCCTTACCCCTGATCAGCCCTTAGCCTTCTTGAGTCAGATAGAGCTCTGCAGTGCAAGTGTGGAAGCTCTTGCTCAGTGCTCATCTCATGGGTAGCTGAAGTCATCCATGGTGACCATGCTCCAAGAGCATGCAGTCTCTGCCAGTTCGCTGGAAAATTCCTAGTTGAGTTCTTCCTCTTGGTTTGGAAGTCTGTGGTAGACTCCTACAGTCAAATCCCCTTCTCCATGCTCTCCTCATATTTTGACCCAGAGAGTTTCAAGTTGCCCTTTATTGCCAATCTCTTCTTCTAGGTAGGTGTACTCTTCCTTCATGTAGAGAGCAACTCCCCCACCCTTCTTCTCAACACGATCTCTCCTATGCAAAGTGTAGCCTTCTATACCTGTGGTCCAATCATAGGTGGAGTCCCACCAGGTCTCTATAATCTCTATGAGATTGTATTGCTTGTTGGTTAGCAGGAGGGCCAGTTCCTCCTGCTTACTCCCCATGCTCCTGGCATTTGTGTACAGGCAACTAAGCCTGCTATTAGAGGTCCTAGGCTTCCTGGTGTGCTGCAGAAAATCCTGTCCTTAGACCGGTGTCAGAATATGCTTCTTGCTGTTCCCTGGTTTGCTGGTTCCATGGTTGTCATTTCTTGGGATTGTACTAGTAGTAGTCTGCCCGTCCGCAGGCAATCTCAGTTTAAAGTCCTATACAGGAGGTCTGTCATTCTAGCTGAGAAAAGCTCCTTCCTCTTCAGCATGAGGTGGATACCGTTCCTTCCCAACAGACTGCAGTCTCTGAAGTGTGTACTGTGGTCGAAGAAGCTGAAGCCCTTGTGGTAACACCAGTACCAGAGTCTTCTGTTCACTTCTTCTATACATCTGCCCCTTCTGTACCATGACCCACAACCAAGAGGAACTAGGAGAAAACTACCCATGCCCCCAACCCCCTGAGCCTAGCCCACAGAGCCTATCCCCCACCAAGAGCTCACCAAAACTCCTTAAGTGGCCCTCCAGCCAATATTATTGTCCACCCCTGTGTCAGAGACTTAAGTGGACTTAGACACTTAACTGTGACTTTGTTTTACCATGTTTAAGTCCCTGAAAATCCATTAATGCATCTGTTTTTATAACATATTGTTATTTGATCCTTAAGGCTAGGTGCATCTACATGTGCAATTAACTTGGGAGCAGTTTACTCTACAGTTAAGTACTCAAGAGTAAACTCTCCCAGGCATATGTCTACGTGTGCAGGGACGTGGAAGCAGATCCTTATCTCCCAGCTCCAGCTCTGCAGTCACAGCCCTGGGCTTGGAGATAAGGACTTCCCAGCCCTGGCCCTGCGATCACTCCAGTGGCAGAGCCCGCCCCAGCCGCAGGCAGCTCCCAGGGTCAGGGAGCAATGTCCCACCCCCTTGTGCCCAGCTTAACAGAAGCAAATGTGCTCCTGGTCAGGTGTCCACATGCTCACTTCTGTGTAGTAAGTAACTGAGAGTTAGTTTGCTACTTACATTTGCAGGTAGCAAATTTACTCCCACTTAGAGCCAATTACTGTGTACATAGCATTTGGATATGGAGATGGTGATACTTACTGCATAGTCATTAGCTCTAGCCTCGAGTAAAACATCTCATGTAGATGCACCCACTGAGTCAAAAAATTGCAGAGACGACGAGAACTCACCTACCTTTTGAATTCAGTATTTTTTCACAGAGTTGAACAAGGCTAAAAAGAATCACTCTTAGGCACATATGCATCTAATAGTTGGAATAAAATCTGGTCTCAAGCATATAGTGACATTATGTTCCCGCAGACTCTGTAATATCAATACATGCAAAGATATCATGATTTAAAGGAAACTTTATGGTATCTATCCATTCACTGATAACACAAGGGCTAGGGGAAATGTTGACACCTGCTACCTGATAAAGAATGTTGGTCACCCTTGTGTCCATCTTCTCCCAAGCAAGCAGACAGTAAGCCTCAATGCCTTGTTTTTTTAAATAAGATACTAGTGGGTTTACCTGCACATCCCAGCGTGCACCCTCCATGAATAAGCCATGTATATAGGCCCCTTCACGAGGAGGGTTGCTGAAATCCTCCTTGTTCTTCTTTGTCATGTCACATTGCAGGGCCATTTTATCCAAAGGCCACTCATTCTTTCGGGCCATGGACTGCATGATGGCTGTCAAGAAAGACTGAGGGTTGAAGAATCCTGCTAGCCACACTACGGAGGGCAAGGAGAAGTCTCCTGTCCATGTCTCAAGTTCCTTGATGCGGTTGAGAAGGTCAGCAAACCAGCTAGCCAAGCCAGCCATAGAAGGATAAGCCCTCTTAGTCCAAGACTCAGGCACCGTGTCCAGGAAGATGGCATTCTGCAAGTTCTCCATATCACCAGTCATGGTCAGCTCCCCCTGGAGAAGTACCAGAAAGAAGATGGTAATAATAAACAAAGGCAGAGCTATAAAATGTTCTCACTTTTGTGGTGGAATATGGTAGCTGCTTAATACTGGGCAGTGGCCACTTTGTACAACAAGTTAAATCAGAAACTGCAGAAGAATGTCCAAACTGCTCACCTTCTCTGCTCTTGAACCTGTCCCCAGACATCTAGAGGGGAAAATATGTAGGGCCAAGAGGAAGGGAGAAATGTGGCTCAGTGAGATGGACACTACCCTGGAAAAGTAATTGCCTAAGGTTCTGGCCCTGGTTTCTAGACCTATGGGGGTCAAAGTTATCCCACTATTATCAATTTTAGCCAATGAATATTAAATGCAAAGTGCAGAAAAGCCATTTGGGTTATGTAAGTGAAACAGGATTTGGCCCCAAGCTTCCAATTGTTCACTTTTAGTCACTCTATTCCTGTAACACCCTTTTCTGAATAATTAGAGGTGTTTTACAAAATTAAGGTAAGGGTGCCAGCATTGGCTCTAGTTAATTAGTATTTTCCATATAAGGAGATATTTTTAATTATTTATCACTTTGTCAAACTTTAACTCACATTTTCTTTCTGCCTCAGGCTGAATTGTTTTGGAGAGTTTAATTGGGAACAGTTGACCAATTGATGAGAATGAGTTTTGGGGAAAATGCGTTATTCTATTAATGTTAAAAAAATTCCAACTGTTTCTTCAAAGGGCTTCAGTGCCTTCAGGAACAGCTCTGAAGTCAAAAAGGTTCTCTGTGTTTGCTCTATGTAAATCCATCCAAAATCTAGCCAACTTATACACTTAGTAGAGTTGGTTAGAATTTTGACAGCTAAAATCTCAATTTCAGTTCAATTTCTTTATTAGCGACTTGGATGATGGGGTGAAGAGCAGCCTGTTTAAATTCACAGATGACACCAAGATTTGGGATGAGGTGGGCATGCTAGAAGGGAAGGACAGATTATAGCAGGACCTGGACAGGTTACAGGGGTGAGCAAATGAAAATAGGATGGGAGTCAATACTGACAAGTGCAGGGTGCTGCACTTGGGCAGTAGGAACCAGCAGCATACCTATAGGCTGGGGAACTCCCTTCTTGAAAGCACGGTGGCAGAAAGAGATCTTGGAGTCATTACTGACTCCAAGATGAACATTGGCCAACAATGCGAGAACACAGTCAGTAGGGCTAACCGTACCTTGTTGTGCATCCACAGATGCATCACTAGCAGGGCCAAGGAGGTGATCCTCCTCCTCTGTGTGACACTGGTCAGGTCGCAGCTGAAGTACTGTGTCCAGTTCTGGGCGCCGCACTTCAGGAAGGATGTGGACAGCATTGAGAGGGTCCAAAGGAGGGCCACTTTCATGATCCAGGGACAGCAGGGCAGACCCTATGAGGAGAGGCTACGGGATCTTAACCTGTTCACCCTTCACAAGAGAAGGCTGAGGGGGGACCTGGTGGCCATCTATAAACTTACTAGGGAGAACCAGCGGGGTTTGGGAGAGACCTTGTTCCCCCGAGCGCCTCCCGGAGTAACAAGGAATAATGGCCATAAGTTGCTAGAGAGTAGGTTTAGACCAGACATTAGAAGGCACCACTTCACAGCCAGGGCGGCTAGGATCTGGAACCAACTTCCAAGGGACGTGGTGATGGCTCCTACCCTGGGGGTCTGTAAGAGGAGGCTTGACATTTACCTGGTGGGGGTCATTTGAGCCCAGCTTTTTCTCCTGCCCAGGGCAGGGGGTCAGACTAGAAGATCTACAAGGTCCCTTCTGACCCTACATCTATGAATCTATGAATCTCTGAAGATCCTATCTGTACTGAGCATACTCCATTTCCCTTGGAGCTCCTACAAGCAATTGTATTGATCATGTTTTCAGGCCCCACCAGTCTCCAAGATGACTGGTAAAAAGCCAGAGCTCCACCAAGAACATAGATACAATATTTCCTGACACTTTGTGGTGACATTTTATTTAAAAGGCTTTGAAAAGCCTTCAGCCAATTGAAAGAAGTTGTTTTTCCTTTCCAGAGTTTCTTCATTCTACATCTAAGTTCTGTCTCCTCAGTATTGTGAGCTCCTGCACATTAAGATCACAAAAAAAGTGTCCATCTGGGCTAATGCACAATAGCACCTATTACGGTGCATTTAGTACTTGTTATTACAGGTAGTAAACTTACTGTGCCATAAGGGCTGTATGAAACAGCTGTGTTTCAATTCGGTTTTGGATTGAGCCACTTCAGAGGACAACGATTCATTTTGGTGTTTTGGATCACTGTCCTGTTTCATTTCAGCAAAATCTGTTTTGGAGAAAGCCTCCTTCCTGGTCATGTACAGGGCCCATTTGGCCAGGGCCAGGAGATTGACCAAGAGGTTCTGGTACTTGGTAGGACTGTGGATGGGGTGCCCAAAAATAAAAAGGTGGGGGGTAAGATCCATCCAGAACCTCAAAAAGAGGTTCCAGAGGTGGAGGGGCTTCAGTCTGGTGCACTTGAGCTTCATGTGTGCCCGAATCTCCCTCTGCCCGAAAAAGAGGCAGGAGACTGGGGTGTTGGTAAAGCTTGCCACATACATGCCCATGGCGACGGCTCCATGGAGGAGCCACCAGCTGAGGTCCCCAGCAAGGTTCCCCCTAAGCTGCGCACATGTGTAGCCATGAACAAGGAATTTTTTTTGCCACGCAGTAACTTTTTAATGCCACGCACCTGCTCCACCCCAGCCAAAGGCTGCTGCAGGAGAGGGGAGGGGCAGGCACACTGAGATACCCACACACTCCCAGCTAGGATCATAGCCGAAGGCAGGTAAGTTTCACTGGGCGGGGGGAGGGGGGAGAGGCAGACTGAGACCTCCCACAGAAGGAGTGTGGTAGGGGCAGGGCACTGCCCCACTCTCTTCTGCACTGTGGGGATTGTCCCATGACTTGGCCCAGCCGGGGGCCCGTTCACTGTGAATGGGGCCCCAGCCAGACTAGGGCAATTGGAGCCTGGCAGTTCATTCAGGGGTGTGGGTGGGCGGCTGTGGCTCCCGCCACTGTGCACACCGCGGGGGAGGGGAAGCGTATTCCCCTCCCCAGCTCTCCCTGTACCATGCCCCTGGATGAGCTACTGGGCTCTGACCTGGCCCGAAGCCCAGCGGCCCCTCCAGATGCATGGCACAGGCAGCCAAGTGAGGGCATGTGGCCCCACCTGGCCCCTGATCTTTGCATGGGACAAGGGCGGGTGGGATCAAGGTGCAGTCAACCTGGTGCTGCTATCAGGCCCTTCTGCACAGGCAGCTTGGTGCTGGCTGCCCCCCAGTAACTCCTTTGTCTAACAACTCTGCAGGTTGGAACACCAGTTGCAGGGGTACTGCAATTGCAAAAGATACTACTTTATTTTTTCAATCTAGAATCAGGATCCAAAAGGAGGAATAACTAATTATGTGACAGCTGAAAGCATTGGCAATCGCATGTAATTTTGGAAACATACAGATTCCCTTATTAGAGACATAATTATCTGTGGACCATCTGGGCCTAAAATGAGGGAGAGATTACTGAGAGTATTATGAAAGTATCTCCATGCCCCTTTGTTAATCCATGGTGTGTCCACACATTACGTACCATGCCCAATTCTGGTCCCCATGCCTCCAAAAGGATACAGAAGAGCTAGAGAAGGGCAGAGGTGTGCAGAGGCTTCCTGATGAAGAGATACTAACAAGGCCAGGTGTGTTCAGTTTAGAAAAGAGATGCTTGAGAGGGGACATGAGAGGGATTTACAAAAAACAAAATGGTGAAGGTAAAGTCAATAGGGATTTATTATTGGCTAGCTTTCATCAGCGAAGAACTGGAGGTCACAAAATGAAACTACCAGATAGTAAGTTTAAAACAAGCATAAGACAGTTCTTTTTCACCCACTGTGTTATTAAAGTGGGTAACTCATTGCCACCAGATACAGTGGAAACTAGAGTTCAGCCAGATTCATGAAGAGATTGAACACATTCTTGGAGGAAAGGGGCATCAGCTATCAGTGTTCCCTCTAAGATGCTCATGGACTGAAGCAGCACACTCATGGACCACTACACCTTAGAGGGAACGCTGGTCTCCAGTGGCTAATGAGATGAGGGTGGAGTACAGGCTTAACCACTGGGGCGCCCCCCAATTATGCCCTCACTGAACAGGTTCCACAACTTAGTTTCTGGATGGGACACAAGGATGTGATGGTGGATCGTGCAGTGCATGAGAATGTAGAGGTGGCAGTAATGGACAGTGGAGAAGCGGATTGTTTTGGTGTCCTTCAGCCAGTTCAGGTGGTGGACTGGGGAGTGCCACAAGGCCGGACAAGGCACCGGCCCCACAACTAACTCTGATGGGCTGGAGGACATTGGGGGGGTGGGGGGCGCCATCAACAAAGGCAAGGGTGTTGGGAGGTAAGGCAGATTTTACCTCCTGGACTCGGTGACAGGTCACATGCATCGTGGGTAAACCCATGCACTAGACTAGCGCAGCAGGGTCCACCCACCCCCATCTATTATAGGCTGGGAGGTCTCCAATATGGGTGATACCACCCAGAACCAGGCTCTGTCACACCTGGGGTGCCTCCACCATTGGTACCTCCAGCGGGGGGTTGCAGAGGAAGGGCTTGATGACCAGGTCAGCTCCTTGGATGAGTGTCGCAGGGGACCTGGAGGCAGAGACCAGCCTCCAAGCCCGGAGAAGGTCCTAGTAGAACTCTGGCAGCCCTTGCAAGTCCTGCAGGGAGAAGCCCTGCAGGTCAAGGAGCTGCCAGTCATACCTGAGCCACCGGAAGTGGCGGAGGAAGGTGCCCCCCAGGTGGCTCCATGCCATGTGGCTACTGACACTGTATAGCAGTCACTGAAGGGCCTGCAGGTGGAATGTCATGATCTGGCTGCACACAAAAACCAGGTCCTGGCCACCCTCTCACAAGGGGAGGCTCAGGACCTATGCAATGACCCAGTACAATCCCAGCCAGAAAAACTGTAATGCCCATCTCTGAAGCCTGGCC